TGCTTCAGTCTATCAACTGTTCAACGTAGGGAATACTGCTTAAATCTTCATTAATAAGAACTGAAGAAAAAGGAGCATTTAGTAATCTATCCATCTCATAATCATTACAAATGAACCTTTTTTATCATCCCTTGGAGGCCTTACTCCAATTCTAATATTTTTTTTTACCCTTATTGTATTAATAGAAATTCTTACTGTTAATATTACATTTTCAGCCAACCATTTTTTATACATCCATTTTGATATTCTAGTTTTGTTTCACCAACTCTCTTGATCGTAATTTTCTAAATCTACTGTCTTACCAGTCAATTTAAATTTCTTAAAATTGTGATGATTTTTTTAACTTTTATCCCTTGTATCTTTTGTGACCGGTTCTGGTTGTTTACTTGCAGCCACCTTTTTCTTTCTATAAGAAATATGTTTATCTTGAAGAGTTAAAAATTTTTCCTATTTGATCAGTTTCTCCAATTAACTTGGCTGTCCAATTCACAACATCAAAATTTCCTTTTTTCATACTTGTAGCCAAAATGTCATTATTCCTGATCTCCATGTGCAGCAAAACATGAATCCTAATAGAGCAGTGATCACTTGCACTCAAATATTCTTTAGTTTTCACCGTCTCAATCATTTGTAAATTATGACAGATTGGTGAAAGAAACCATTATGAACAATTCCAAAATCTTTCTTTCTCATGGTTAGACTCTTAACATTTCCCATAAACATATAGTTACTTGAAATGACTATCACTATGAGACAAACACACAAGTAGTTAACTCTTGTGTGAAAAAAAAAGTTCAGATTCATTTTGATGGCATATTGTATAAACATTTCATATAAAAATGTGTACTACATTATTAAAAAACACCATGCTTTGAGTTTCCATAATGTTGTTACAGAAGTTGCTTTTGCTTACAAAGTGTTGATATTAACATGACATGTAATACAACTTGAAACAAAAAGAAAAGTATTTAAATTGGAAGTTTTTAAGGAATGTAAACTATACCAGTTAGTTTGAAACTTAAGTATTTTAACTTTTTTGTAAAGCAGGCTCAGCAAGAAGTAAAACATTTTTCAAGACTTTCACATCCAAATGTTGTCAATTATAAAACCTCCTGGATAGAAAATGATTTGAGTAAGTGTTTATTTTTTTCTCATTAATTTAGCCATGTCTCTCTTGATTCAAGTGTAGTTAAGATATGAGTAATTAATTACAGATGCATTTTTTTTCTTAAATCAATATTTTAGTTGCCATGTGAACTAACAGTGTGTATGTGTACATATACACTAGATTGTTAGTTTTGTTAGCTGTGTTTTTTTAATATTTACTTTTAAATTAAGAAATGAACTAACATATAATACTAAAATTTGAATTATAATCTACAATTTGATACCAAAGTTATTGACATTGATTCATAAAATAGTACATCAGTAAAATTATTAATGCAAGTCAATAAACACTATGACATAGCCTTTGACACATGACCCGTTGCGATGGGGTTAAATTATACTTTTACTTTCTAGGTGATTTGAGGGGGAAATCTTACAGAATTTTTTAAAATAATATTGTCATATGTGCCCTCATAGAAACAAGATATTGGTTGGAAAGGAATAAAGTGATGTTAAGGATTCAAATTTTCATCTTGTATGTATATAATACATGCAAGAGGGTTATTTTTTTATATCTAAATAAAAGAGAATTTCCTTCAATCTCTTAACATGAATGTACATTGTTACTTTGTAAATCTTCATGGATTTTTTTGTCATATTTTTATACTTTTTGTGCTTTTACTTTTATAATAACAGAAATAGAAAGAAATGTGTTAGCAAATACATTTCTATAATGTGTTTTAAGTACAATCATGATGTTTGTTTTTGCATTAGCTGAACATGTGATAAACTCAGCTTATTTTATTGATTGAGAAGATGTTAAATTACAAGGGCGAATTAAATATAAGAGTCATAAAAGTTGTGAAAAAAATTTTTTTGAATGAGGAATTTTATACAGGTTTTATGGAAATTAGTTTTTGGACATTGGTTTTGAAAAATTAGTGGCATCACAGGGCAGGGTAATTTGTTTTGAGTTGTATCAACATATTTATATTTACATAATCATCTCACTGTTAACTCACAACTTATCTTGATGAGAGGGTAGTACCAAACACCTTTTGTGTTATCAAACAAATCTGGTGCTGCTTTTAAAAATCATGAACATTTGATGTTGTGGTGTTTTAGTCTCTTTCACAATCACCATTGTTTACCATATATATGTTCTTACAGTTTTTAATGAAATAAGGTAGGTTTCCATGAAATCTAATATAGTTTTAATATTATGTATTTCTGTTTGTTTTACAAGGTCCACAAAGTTCTGAAGATACTTCATGTGAAAATGTTTCAAGTTTAGAAACCAGCAGTGATAGGTTTGTATAAAAATGTGCAGCTCATTTTTAACAAATTTTTTTCCACTCAATTTTCAACTTTTGTATTATATAAGAAGTTCCTTGTTTGTGAATTTTTTAATGCATTTGAAAATTGTTTAAAAATGTATACTCATCTCTCTGCACAACATAGAGATGTTACTTCATGCCACTACCATGAAGACTGATAGCACATGCCACAAGCATTGAACAAATATCCCACCCCTACACATATTAACATGTACTGCACCAGCCCAGGATATAATCTTCATTAGACTAGAGTTATACACCAATAGTAGGCTTATACATCTCCATGTGCAGTAATCCCCATGAGCACTAGAATTGGAACAAAGGCTCATACTTTCCTTGGCACTGCTTTGTTCAAATATGTTTTTTCTTCAGAATTAACAGGGTTTTTTGTATTAATTATTTTAATCTCCTTACCTATTCTTTGTGTAGTCTTTCATTTCTTAATTTTCTGGATTATGACAAACAAGGAGACTTAATTCCAAAACATACTTACTCTACGCTGACACTTTAGCTATTCTTTGACATTGGCTTTGCCTATCTAAACATTGGACTTGCATGCTTCAGTCTTTTATACCCCACTTAAATGCTCTAGGCAATATCTAATTTGCAAATCCCTCCACCTGCTCTAATGTGCCCTCTATCCTGACACAATATATAAACATCTCACTCAGATAATGGAATCACTTTTTCTCGACAAAGCATAGGTCATGGTTTTGTCTGATGAAGTGCTGTCGTTTGTTCCATTATGTATTTCGATTTTTGTGTCACCTTGTAGATTTCCATATAATTATAATTTCCTATAAAAAAAAAGTGGACATGATGTTTGTGGGTATGAATTCCCATATTACCGTTGTAAGCACGGCAGTTAATCTAACTTCCTCTTTCACCTTTGTTATCTAGCATCTCTCTATGGTTGGGGTGGGGGTGGGGTCTGTCGGTGTTTTGATCCATTGGGAGATGGAAACTTACAATCGGCCCTGGGGGGGTGTTTTTCTCCTGGGGCCTCAGAAGTTGCCTTTTTGTTGATCCTAGTTATTCTGGGGAGAATTTGGACTCGATTTTTTGTGTTTTTCTTTACTAAGTCGGCTTCTCACAAATCCAATTTGGATCAATCACCTCCTACTTCTTTTCTTTAATTCGTCATTTAGGTTATGAGATTTTGGGGCTTTTCTCTGTGACCTTTAAGTCTACTCCTCCCTTGATGGTGGAACGGTTGATGAGGGGGGACTATTTTTCCTTCTTCACCTGATATTCCTGGTTCATGGTGAGAGATTTACTGCTTGATGGAATAGATATATCTTGTACCCTCGTTTGTCTATTTGCATGCTTTGGCTTTTCACCTTCAGGGGGATGTCTTTTTTTCTATTCCACAGACTAAAATTATTTAATTTTGGATATATGGGGTTCCAGGTTGGTTCATGTGATCAATTTGAACCAATCAAATGTTTTTGTATTTGTTTGCTCCTCACTCTTGCTCTGTGATGTTTCTTTCCCTGCAAATTGTTGGCACCCTATCAGTGGTCCACACATTATTTTGTGGATGAATAGGGTCACCTACTGACTTATACGTTGGTCATATTGCCTGCTACTGTTCCTTCTGTAGAGATACCTTGGTGAAGGGACTTTGTCTACCTGCTGTAGCTTCAGGGTGTTACATATGACTTTTTTATTATCACTTCATGTTCGCAGGTGTCCCAGAGACATTTGTATTGCAAATTGTCATCACCCGTTTGCTTATTTTGTTGTTGTTGTTGACCTCTCAATCTTTTTTTGGCTCTAGTAGCTGAATAGGCTCAGACATTAATTTCAGGGCCACTTTGTTTGGGCTGACCAACGCTGTTAGCATCAGTATCAACCTGTGTGTGTGTGTGTGTATGGGAGCAGTCAGAGTGAGATTATAACTTTCGATGGACACCTGGTATTCCTTCACTGGAGATCCATGGGCACTTCTGGTATTGAGGTTGGTCTTCCCATACAATTCTCAACCTCCATTATCCTCTCACCCTGTGGCATTTCCACCTCCACCTGACCAGTGGGGTGTGGATTCTCATTTCACAGCTATCAGAGTTACTTATCACAGGAATGGTAGTGACAGTTGATCCCGTCCTTTCGGGATTTTTCCTTAAATTGAAAATGTTAACTTTTAAACATTTCAGTTAGAACTTGGATTAGAATTATCTTCACCTTGATTTTTTTCTTTTAACTGAATCTGTAATTTTAGGACAAGTGTTCCATTGTGTGTGATTTCTTTGCCGATACGATTGCCTATTGTTTTAATACAGTGTACAGGTTTTTTTATGTACCCTTCAATATCATCATTATGCCATTAAAAAAATTGGTTTTGTGGATCATCTAGATTATGAATTAACTCTTGCTAAGGGGTCGGTCAAAGTGACCAAATTCAAAACCATTTTGTATTCATTAAGGTGTCCATGCTATAACTTTTAATACAATATATGTGTCTTCAAAAAATTTAGCAGATTTTTAGTAAACCTTACAAGTCTTTTGTTCACACAAAATTTGTTCTTGAATATATTGAATCTTTTTTTTTTTCACTAGGCTGAGTGCAAAGTGACTTTAATGTCAAGATTAAAAATACTTCATCTAAAAAAATCTCAAATTTCATTTGCATAATCTCTAAAATGTCCCAAATATATTTCAAACATTTTTTTCTAGTAAAACTTGATATTTTATCTGTTATTTTTTCTACCCTAACTATACAAGTTTGGTAAATTTGACCAACATCATAAACACCAAAAATAAAATTTGAAATAAATCTAAATTACTGTTCTTTTCTTTCTAGAATTACCATGAAACCACATTTGTTTATCCAAAGTAGCTTCAAACACTTAACAGTATACATGTATTTATACTTGAAATTTATTGTTTTATTGCCCTTTGAACCATGTCTAACTAATATTCATGCCATATAAGTTGTAAATCAAGTGGCAAATGTGCAGCTCACATTACGGTATCCATTTACATAATCACTAGACAACTTGTGAGCTGCTTGCAAGCCTACCTCATGAAAAATTATTATTATTATTCTTTATTTTACCATATCTAACCTAAAAATTTTTCCAGTTTCACATTTTAGTTACTTTTATAATAAGTAAGGAATACACTGAAAATAAAAAATAAAGTACTTACCTGGATTTCCTTTTTTTTATGTCTATGATGGTTGATGATACTTAACCCCACTTTTTTAATGATACTACTGCATTAAATAATTTTTACTTTATTAAATAATGCATCAAAGAATACAGAATAATCACATGCAAAAAGCAGACAATGTCCCATAACTATCACCTGTTTTTCTGGCTTTCTAACTATGCAACAAGAGCAAAGTGACCAGATTTTCTGGAGTCCAAAGTGCAATACATAACTTATGAATAAAAAATTGGTTGCATTAAAAAAAAACTTCTTTCATAAAATAAGCATATCATCTTATTAATATACTTTTCATTAGATATTATTATTTTTTAACAAATCAGGAGGGCATTTTGGAGACATGCAATAGAAAAGAATGACATTCATGAAAAATACATACCATCTAATCATTACAGTTCTTCTTTGAAAATATTTCCTTAAACAACCTAAAATATTTTGGACATTCAGTGCATATCCTGAAATCAAACAAACTAATTTCATATTGTTTTGTCAGTTATAACAATATTACTTCATACTGAATGCTAGTGCACGACATTTCAATGATTTTATGGTATAAAGGTCAATGACTAATGCCTAAGGGTGTTTTATGAAACAATTAACAAGGTAATTTGATATTATTACATCCTTAATAAGTATATGATTATCTGTTGTCATATAAAATTAAAAACTTGAAATATGTATTAAAATTGGATTATTAGCTACATTTATATGGCAACTCTGTTTGTAAACCATGATAAGGAAGTAGTTTAATTAACTTTTAAATGTAACTCACTAAAACCTTGTGACCTGCGCAGAAAAAAAATGCAGGTAGCAAGAGGGTTAATGTTTCTATATTTCTGATATTTCTTGAAGTTCTAACACTCTTCAACTGTAATGGTGACTAGAGGCACTAACAACTAGTGTTGTTACCACCTTTGTGCTTCAGGTAGTTAATTCCATCCTAATCTTGTATTCAGGATTTCTGACCTCCTCCTGTTACTTCAACTGAGCCTGTCCCATCTTTCAATGAGCTTCACCAGTGTTGTTTCTACAATTTTTTGGATTCTAGTTCCTTCTTCCTCATGCAGATCATAATCCCATTTTCATCCATCAATGCTTGGAATAAACAAATGTGTCTTTTGTTTTCTCTTTTTTAGCTTTTTTTTTCTTTCCTGAATCTCTGGCTACCTTATTGCATGAGCCTCTTTCACTCGATTATCTTCTCTTTTTATTTCTTTTTCTCTTCCTCACCATCTACTGATCTTTGTGTCATTCAACTTCTTCACTGTCTATCCACACTTCATCTTCTTTTAGAGGTTTTAAGCCACAACACTACCAGCATTAGTGGGATACTTGCATATACCTTTTTTCCCCACCATACCCTTGATTTTCTTCTTCCATTGTGTCCCAGTTAACCTGGTTTCTTCATTTCTGGAATGTACTTTGTCAGGATGTCTTAATTTCTCTCATTTGTTTCCCTCAGTCCTTTCTCAGGGGCCTTTGTGTTGTCATACATAAAGATTGTGTACAAACTTGTGTCCATTTTCATTTGTGCCACACTCACTCAAAGTCAGGAAAGTTCAAGCAGTTGCTTTGCAGTTCATTTTCTGGTGAGCCTCCAGTTATAATGCAGTCCCCATATGATTATCCTAGAGGAAAATCATTGTTTCTGAGAATACCACATACCTAAACAGCAAACAAACCTCTTAAATGCGTTATTTTCAAAGAAATTCTAGAGGCTCACTAAAGATGTGGAGGGTTTACAGTATTTCATACAAAATATTATAACTTCTTAATTAGCTATAGTTGAATGATTTGCAGTTTAGTCCAATTGATATTTGAGTTTATAATATAAGAATTGAGAGGCTGGATTATTGAAGGTTATTATTTTTAAGTTTTTTAAATTTCTACTTGTACGTACTTTTACTTGTGATTGTTGTTAATTTCATGTTTCTTAACATTTTTGCTTTTCTAGGGTTTCTGAAGATTCTTTAATATATTTCAAAAATTCCCCAATGTTCTTCGAAGAAGAAGAGGGAAAAGATTACTCTGTGCCACGCATTGGAGTTTGCCAAACACAAGAAGTTCAAAAACTCAGTTCCTCAAAAGTTATAAGCACTTGCTATCCTACACCCGCTGAAAGATGCTTTAATTCACAGTATAAAGATTCACTCGTAAAGATAACAGAAATAACAAGCAAAACTCAAAGTTCATCATCATCTCTACTGAATACTAATGCTTCTGAATTAGGTGAACATGATTCCATAAGTTACAATGATGAAGGCCTGTGTGATAAATCCATAAATTCAAGTGTAGAGGATTTGCCTCATTACAAAAATCAAAATACAAGATTCAACTCAAAAAGTTACTCAGGATTTGAGAAAAGAGAAACTTGTATAGTTTTGAAAACAATGGATCATTGGTCAATGCCATTAGTAAAGGAGTCAGGTCTTCTAGCATTGGACCGTTTTCAAAATGGAAGTGCGTGTATCAGTATGTTGAGGAACCTTGTAAGTGGCAATAATATATATTTTTTTGAGTATCTAAAGAATCTTTTAACTAATTTGTAAGTTTTTGTTTTGTTTCCTGCAATGTTAGTTTTTCCTGATTACACACATAAAAAAAGATGAATATATGAAAAGAAGCAATCCCCATAGCTATTCTGTGTCTATATCTTGTCCAACTATTATAGGTAGACTTTTGAAAGTACTGAAGTTACAGGGCTTCTTCTTATTATTATTTTTTTAAATTATTTTCTGTGCCTACATGTTTTCCTAACATCATGAGTAAATCTAATAGGTAGAAATACATGAAGTTATATAAATGTATTTGAAAATTAGCTATCTACTATCTAGCGAAACCACAGCCAAGATGATTATTGTCAGTAGTAAGTTTGTAGTAAGATGGAAACATGCATTAGGTTTCATGGTGTTCACCTGGGGGGACTCTGAGGCTGCAGTTAAGGGTGACCCTGGTCATTCTGGATAGAATTTCGTTATGCTTTTTCCATCACCTTCATATATTCTGCTAGCTTCTCAGTCCCCCAATGCAACAGTGGTAAGTTTACAGGCTTACAAAGATGAAGTCTGGGGTTTGATTCCCTATCGTGGACATAGCAGATGGCCCAAAGTTGTTTTGCTCCAACAAAACAAACTTACCTGACAACATGTTGTTCCAAGCAATAGTAATCAGAACAGTCTTTGAATGACATCAAAATGAAGGCCACTCTGGGATAAGTTGCCTCCAATTTGTTTTTTCAGTTGCTCCATTCAGTTTGATGGTTTGGGTCTTTCCCCAGTGACTTTTAAGCCTGCATTTACTTGATGGCTGTAAGGTCTGGTAGTAAATATTTAGTTTTCACTCTATCCACAGACATTATGGTTCATGCAGGGAGGTTTCCTGGTCAGTTATGTGATGGGATAGCTATGCCTTTTCCACCACTGTTGTCAGAACTACATGATTTTGCCTACTACTGATAGGTGGAAGCATATTCCTACTCAAATAATACATCTGATTCACTAAATTTTCTAAGGTGGAGTTTGGTATGCTATGGACTTATAACTCTAACAGCCAATGTGTTGTTTTCTTAACACTAAACTTTGTTTGAAGACTAACTTCATTGATGATGACTTGCAACCATTGTTAGCATACACATTGGTTCAGTTGTCGTCTTCTACATTCATCCCTGTTGTTGTTAGCCTCTCGACTTTTATTGGCTCCTACAGGGGATCGTAGTTCTTCTCCTTTTTGAGGATCCAGACCCCCAACATTAGCCCCTCAATGCATTGGTACCCAGAATATATTCTGTCCATATCCACGGGTTCCACTGCTTGGTCAGAATGCCACCAGCATTGTCAGTGATTATTGTATGCCTTCGTGGTCTGTAGGGGCTGGGCTCTGAGAATTTCTAGACATAGAGTAATCTTCACCATGGATCCATGGGCACTACAGGTCCTTGTGTCAGGATTAGTCGTTCAGTTCACATCTTCTTCACCATTATCCACCCAACCTGTAGGGTTTCTGTTTTCTGCAGAACCTCAGGTTTCGGAATTTATTTCTATGGCTGTCAGAGTTTGGTTGGTCTGGGGGTTGAAAGAAAGAGACATGTCAGTTCTTCCAGGGTTTTATTTCTGTCAGTTGTTGGGCATAAGAAGACAGGAGATTGGTGTCCAGTGATCGATTTTGTATGTCTATATCAATGCCTGGATTCTCCAACGTTCATAAGTGACTCATTCTTTTATCTCAATTGGCATTTTTTACTAAGATTATGGATGTCTAAGTTCAATGTAGTCAGTTCCTATGTGCATATTACCATAGTGGAGGCTTCCCACCACTATTGACATTTTCTGTATGTCCGGATTTAAAAATCTGTTCTTTGCCAATTGTCAAAATAAAAAGGCTTTTAGTTGTATTTCTTAATAGTATGAATATATACTATGTTGTTGTTGGGCTTAGGATTATTCTACAGTAGGTGTTTGTGACTTGTTAGTGATAAATTCAACGATGAATAAACAGCATACATTTCACTTGTTTTCAATATAATATATATATATATATATATATTCAGAACAAGTTAACTTATGTACAATAAATTATTCAACACCACAGATATTATGGACATATCATAAATACTATATATGTAATTCTCTCCTTGTCAAATATCCACTTAGGCCTATTCAATTACTTTAGAATTTCAGTTGACAAGCTGAACTACCTTCTCTATTTTTATCGCATTAGTACTCTCTGTGATTCACTTAAAATTGTGGCACAATTTATCATAATTGTTTGGTCTTCTTTATTTTGAAGATCCTCTGTTCCTTTTGTCAAAGTGCACTCAGGCTGATTCAATTACTTTAGAATTTCAGTTGACAAGCTGAACTACCTTCTCTATTTTTATCGCATTAGTACTCTCTGTGATTCACTTAAAATTG